ATTGATCGGGTAAGATAATATTGGAGGCATGATCCGTATGGAATATAAATATATTGTTTGGAAAATTCACTTAAAACACCTCACTAAGATCTTGCCTAAACACCACGCCCGTAACTAGATCAATCAATATTATAACTAGTATTACTGATAAATCTTATTTATTGGTTCTTAGCAATGACAATGAAAACAATATAAGTTACACTTAAAGAGCATAGTAAGTGAAACTTACCTTACATGATCTTCTAGCGAAAACTTTGAATTCCATGAGCATGACTTCGTCGTTGAATCTTTATCTTAAAAGATTCTCCAACACTCCAGTACTAAAGAACGAAGAAATCAAATCACGAGGGACTGAAATCTCAAGGGTTTGAGAGAGAATTCGATCGAAATTAGCAAGGAATGAATGAGGGGTTGGTTCGCTATTTATAGGGAATTTTTATCAAAAAGCGCATCGGGCCCTACCCCTAGGCGCGTTGTGTCCTATGTGGTGGATTCTGGTGACGCCACATCACTCGGTGGTTGGTGGGGTTGAGGGTTCTCCAACTGCCACATGGCCGCTTAGCAGCCAAGAGCAGCTATCAGCTAAATTCTTGTTTTCTTCGAATAATCGCAACTTTCTCGTATAAGCTCCGTTTTCAACGTTCTTTATATCAAAGATTTTGTAATTTCGTGTACCACAACTTTCCTTTAGATATTAACAACTAAGTCACAATTTATTTTCATTTTATATTTTATAAACAAGATTGACGCGTTGTATCTTTAAAAAATCATAACTTACTCATACGGATTCCGTTTTCGACTTTCTTTATATCTACAGGTTCGTATTAACGACTACTACAACGTTCATATAGATTATTTATTATACTTATAAAACTAACTCAAATATTAATTATATAAATAACATTTATATAAACACATATCATGTATAAAGAATTCTTATTTATTTATAAGAAAGATTACATTATCAACAAACATAAATAATGATTCTTCTAGGAAATGCTTAATGAAAAACGCGAACATTACAATATCCAACAACCTACACTTCTGGATATTAATTTTAAGACCGAATGCCATAAAAAACATTGGAGGATAGTAACACCATTGGAGAAATTATAATCTCTCCGACGACCAATGAAAACTACATCCTCTGCGTAAAACAAATGGGAAATCTGCATAGAAGACCCAACTGAGAGAGGAGTAAAAAGAACACTCTATTCCATGAGTTGTATTTAGTGTGTCAGAAAGGGTATTATCTTAATCTTACTTTGCTCTATGAGTCTTACAAAATGTATTATCTTATTTTAATCTTGTAATAGTATCTCTATCTAACAGAAAATATTATCTTATTGTATTCTATCTATACGATAGAAAGTATTATCTTTACTTGTAATATTATTGTATTCTCTCTGTCTGACATATAATATTGTCTTATTATAATCAATGTATTATCACTATATAAAAGATCATATTATCTTATTGTAATCTTATTGCATTCTTTTTGTATGGTAAAGAGTATTGTCTTATTGTAATCTTACAATATTTTCTTTCTAAAAAAAAAATATATATTAAGGGTTAAAATCCTTAATATATAAATACTTGCTCTTCTTTTTTTTTATCCTGTTCCCTATTTTATTTATTTATTTTTGTTATTGTTTTCAAAAAATTATAACCATACTTTATCGCTAATGACCATATACAAACATCATATCTACGCATTACACATATTTTCCCAATGGGAACCTTTTCATCTTGCACTCTTGTAACACCCGTTTATTTATTAAATAAATAAATAAAATAATGAGCGAATAGTAGCCCTAAAATAAATAATTATATATCAATGGATGGTCTCGAGGGGCTAATTGTCATAAATTTAGAAGTTGAGGGCTGAAGGGTAAATTCTGGACCTTAATTGAAAAGAATTTGTCAAGCATTGGGCGGTTTTGTAAATTCTGGATTAGTTTTGTAAAGATTTTAGAAGATAGGGGATGTTTAGTAAATCTGGACTTAATTTGTAAAGGATTTATGGAATCGGGGTAAAAAGGTAAATTTCGGACTCATTGTGAAAGAATAAGGAAAGGGAGGGACCAAAGGTGCTGTTATGGAGGAATGTTTGATTGGATACGGGACTATAAACCCGTCATCTCCTCCCAACCCTAACCCTAATGTGCACAGCCGCCACTCAAGTTCATCAGCCGCCACCACCAGTTCCTCTCTTGTGTTCCGACCAGATAGAGCTTCGACTACCGCCACCTGCTGCCTCGACATTGAGATGCCGTCACACCTTGTTGCCGGACGCCATGCACGAACGGAGAAAACCACCGAGAGCGACTTCCGAGTGGCGTGATGGCGTTCTCATATGCTCCTTCTCCTCTTTCTTTTCCTGCTCCGCCTTCAGCCAACGCCGCCGATGTCACTATGATTGTCAAACGCCGCCACCTGTTGTGTATACGTCGTGGGGAAAATTAGAAGACCGGCGGCTTTAAGGAGCTGTGGTGGTTCGGGGTTGGACCGCTACCTCCCTTCTCTATGTCTTGATGCCGATGCGCCGTTCCAAGATGACAAAGCCACTCTTGCTGCCGTTGACGCCGATCCAAGCGCCGTTGCTGTCGGCTGTTGCGCCACTGCCGCTGCCGCTCACCTCAGGTGGGTGGCTGGGTTCGTTTTGCTAGTAGAAGACACGAGTGTGTGTGTGTGTATTACAGTGAAGTGGTGTTTAGGTGTTATTTAGCCGGAATTCTTGAAGAACAGCCACCACCACCGTGAGGTGGTGGCTGCCACCATGTGCCGCCATGTGTGTGTTTATCTTAGTGAGTTGGTGTGTTTTTACTTGAGTTTTAGCCTTGTAAGATGTAATTGGAAATGGAATAATGAAAAGAAATTGAAAACCACCACCTTAGGGTGGTGGCTGCCGCCTCCTGCCGCCACCGGCCGCCGTGTCGGGTGGCGGTGTGTTTTGCCTCGTTGTGATCGATTCGTTTGGGGTGCTTGAAACCCTAGTGGGCCTTGTAAGCTCGAATGGGCCCAATGAAGCTTAATGGACCCTAATTGACCCTAATTGACCCAATAAAACCCTAATGGGCTTAATGATATTCTAGTGGGCCTAATAGACCCAATAAAGCCCTAATTGACCTAAAAGCCCAACAAATTGATAAATGGGCTAATATTTGGATTGGAAACCCTAATTAGGATTTGGAAAGCCCTAATGCCAATAAAACCCTAATTTGGGGAATTAACCGAAACACGTGAGAATTATTTAATAACTTGAGATATTAAATAATAATCATTGGTAAGGATTAATCTAAGCGATATTGGATTTAATGGATTAAGTCCTTAGAGGATTAAGTCCTTAATGGGGTTAAGTAAAGAAAACTTAACCCTAATCGTCATTTTATGTGAAACTCTAATTTCACTTGGGTTTATTGTTGGGCCTTTCTATTGGGCTCTGTGGTAAGGCCTATATGAGGAGTTGGGCCCAATTTGGAAAATTGGGCCATAAATGGGCCATAGTTTGGACCTTAATGATTATATGATGTTGGGCCTTAGAGTAAGACCATGTATAGACCTGGGCCTAATTTTGGAAAATTAGGCCATATGTTGGACTTTGAGCCATAGTTGGACTTTTGGGCCTTAGATTGGGCCTTGGGCTTGCATAAAGCCAACCTTGGGGTAATGTAGTAATTATCCAAGTGAGTATCTATGATTATGTGTTGGGACCCAATTATTAATTGGGTGATGTTTTGGTGTTGACAGTTCGGGAATCTGTCATCCAGCAGCTGGGGTTGAGTCTGCGGGACTTCAGCAGTGTGGGATTGTGTCTTCGGGACTTCAGCAGTGTGAGGTGAGTTACCTTCCAGTAGCGGTGGGTCTACGGCCACAATGCCGACCCACCAGTAGGAGTTGTTGTTAGATGATTGTCTTTGTGATAATTTTCTATGTTTGCTACTACCTGCTATGTTTATGTGCTAGCATGATATGATGTTATGTGATAGTGGTAGTAGGGGGTGAAATAGTCCCCGGTTACCGGTCGATAGGGCCGAAGGGGTAGATTAGTACCCAACTATGCTAGACAGATTATGATATATGTGATATGATATTATGTGGTAGTAGTAGGGGGTGAAATAGTCCCCACTTACCAGTCGACAAGACCGAAGGGGTAGGCCAGCACCCAGATATGCTAGGCAGTATATGACTTATGTGTTTATGCTATGCTTTTATGTGGTAGTGTTAGGGGGTGAAATAGTCCCCGGTTACCGGTTGAAAGATACCGAAGGGGAGGCCAGCACCCAGATATGCTAGGCAGTATCCGGTCGAGAGGACCGAAGGGGAGGCTAGCACCCAGATATGCTAGGCAGTATCCGGTCGAGAGGACCGAAGGGTTAGGTCGGGCACCCAGATATGCCTGACAGTATATGTATGTTAATATGATTGTATGGTATGTGGTATGATGGGGGAACTCACTAAGCTTTGTGCTTACGGTTTACAGTTTTGGTTTCAGGTACTCGTTTTCAAAGGAAAGGAGCCGGCTTGATCGCAGCGCATCACACTATGTTTTTCCGCACATGAGATCTTTGGGATTACACTCTGATATGGATTTTATGATAATATGTTTTGATTACTGACACTTTGGTTTGACACGAGATATTATTATGAACGTTTTTATACTGATGGTTTTATGTAATAACTTATTTAAAAATGAAATTTTGGCCTTAAATTTTGGGATGTTACAACTCTAGTAATGTTTTTGACAGCTGCTCAACATTTGTAGAACTAAATGGCTAGGAACATTACACATCCTACATAAAGTGCAGAATTATTGCCAGTTTGCTTCAACTACAAAAAGGTCCACATTAACCCTCTTATTTGCTATATCTTATTACCTGTAAAGGTTTATCCACTGGCCCATACTAACAATTTAGCAAAAAAAAAAGTGAGTCCTACAAGTTTAGGATTGGGTTAACAAGAACCTTGTGGTGTACATTCATTCTGTTTCCCATTATATAGGACTAAAAACTTGCATTTTTCATCTATCATATTCTTCTTCTTTTCCCCAGTTCAGTGAAGAAGCAATCAAGAAACATGGAAGCCTGTTTTTTCTCTTCAAATTCCTTTACAAAATCGTTGGAAGTTGTCATCCCTTCGATCAAACCCGGAGTCTTTGTGCAACCCAAGACACTGTCTTCTCGAATTCGGTTTAGAAAAGTAGGCACTTGCTCTAGTACAACATGTAACTTTTTAGACACTTGTTTTCATAACGAATTTATATATTTTTTAACCATTTTATACAACAAAATAAGTTTGTTAACAACTTGTGTAACAATAATTTGCTACTAGTTTTTACCAATTTATGCATTACTAGATTGGTAATATAAATTGGCAATAAATTAAAACAATAGATACATAAAATTGGTTTAAGTATGGGGAAATTGGTTTAAAACAATAAGTGATTAACCATTTTCATACCTCAATCGATAAGTTCATCAATGTTTTGTTTAAATTATGAGAACTGTTGAGGTGGGATATCCTAAAGGCGAGTGGGTTGTCAATCAATAGTTCATGGTTTATCTTTTAGTTTACAACTATATGGTCTTTTTTAATTAATTGATTTTTTGGCTACTTTAGTTTTGACTTTTTTTTTGCTATAGGTTGTCAATCACAATCAAATTCACCATCGCCTTCGTCCAGAGATGAGGATAATATGTTTCATGATGCCGATTGGCGATCATTCAGAGCAAGATTAGTAGCTGGAGAACAAGCATTAACCTCACAAGAATCTTCTCCCAACACCACAGTGAACCCACCACCATCTGTTCCAATAGGCGAAAAATGGGTTCATGCAATACATGAACCCGAAAAACGGTTGCTTATTGATTGCAACCGAGAAACTAAATGGGGTCCACATCTTCAAAAAGACAGTGGTGCTCCTGTTATCCACGGGTCCAGTGGGCACAACTGGCATCATAATTAACCGCCCATCACTCATGTCGATAAAGGAGATGCGGTCAACGACACTAGACGTGTCAGGAACATTTTCAGACCGACCACTGTTCTTTGGTGGGCCCCTTGAAGAAGGGTTGTTCTTGGTGAGTGGGGGTGATGAGGTGAGAAATAGCGGGGTGTTTGATGAAGTAATGAAAGGGTTGTATTATGGGACCGAAGAGAGTGTAGGGTGTGCTTCTGAAATGGTTAAGAGGAATGTAGTTGGAGTGAACGATTTTAGATTTTTTGATGGATATTGTGGGTGGGAGAAAGAACAATTGAGAGGTGAAATAAGGGCTGGGTATTGGGCTGTTGCTGCTTGTAGCCCAAATGTAGTTGGGCCGGCTAATGAGGGAAGTATTGGGCTTTGGGATGAGGTTATTGGGCTTATGGGGCAGAAGAAAGTTTGGTAATTCATATTTCATAGCCCAAGTCAACTTTTTTTTCTTTGAGTCAAATATGTAAATTATGATGTGGCGAATCAAACTAAGTCAAGAAGTGATATGAAGTTCGTAAAATGACATGATTAACTATGAAAGAATGTAAGAAATCTTTAACATATTATTAATTTATGTATTATGTATTATGTTATTTCTTAACTATGTAATGTGAAAACTTGTAATTTGTGAATCATTTTTATGTAAAATTTAACCATGTGATATACATGACTTATCTTATGTATTATCTATCACTTTCAATATATTTTACATAGATTCTTAAATTTGGTGCTATAGATGATAAACAAATTATAAAATATATTCACGATAGCTGTTAATTTTTAATGAAATGAACAAAATAAATGTATTTGGAAGTAGAACTCTAAAAAGAATATTAATTATTTATTAACTCCACAGAATACAGATATTTGTCATGTCACCAATGATCATTTGTAAACTTTTTCAAAAGTTAACCTTTAAAAACCTGCTAGATACCTCTAGGCGCGTGGGCTTGTTGCCGCATTGATAATGATCGATTTTTATAAAATAAAATAAAAATATTTCTATTAGACGTCTGTTTATGTTTAGTTTATTAAGTTAGGGATATATATACTAAAGTCTTAATATTTTCATCAATTTGACAAGAAATTCCTAAACTTTATTTTTTTGACAGTAAAATCCAAATTACCGGCAATTTTTGACACTTTTACCATTTTTTTCCGGTTAGTAGGTAATTAGAATTTTTTTTGTCAAAAAAATAAAGTTTAAGACTTTCTTGTCAAATCGTCAATTAGGACTTTACTGTAAAAAAAATAAAGTTTAGGACTTTCTTGTCAAATCGTTGAAAATATTGGGACTTTAGTGTATATATCATTTTTTGTTAAATATTTAATGGTCTGATACTTTTTAAGCATAACAGTTATTGAAACATTCTCTAGTTAGCTAGATCCTATTGAAATCTTTAACGTTTGCTTCTTGTTAAATCGTTCTTTTAATCTCAACAAACCGACATTGAAAAAATGGAGATAATCAAGAAAGAAAGAAAGAATCAGGGTTGTGTTGGCTTTTTGCAGTCCCAAAAATGTAGAAATAAGAAACCCAAAAAAAAAAAAAAAACGAAATTGCCCTTCTTTCCCTTCTCAACATTCACACCATTTTGACTAGATATGTGTTGTATGTGTTCGTATAATCTATTCCCACTTTTTAGTTCAAGATTTGGCGGCGAAGCAAGAAGAAACTTTTACAATGGTGAAAAGACATGTAAAACTTTCTTCTTACTTCGCCGCCAATTCTTGAACTAAAAAGTGGGGACATATTATACAAACACAAACAACATATACCTAGTCAAAAGAGTGTGAATGTGGATAAGGGAAAGAAGGGCAATTTCGTTTTTTTTGGTTTCTTATTTCTCCCTTTTTGGGACTGCAAAAAGCCAACACAACCGTGGTTCTCTTTCTTTCTTTCTTGATTATCTCTATTTTTTCAATGTCGGTTTGTTGAGATTAAAAAAACGATTTAACAAGAAGCAAACGTTAAAGATTTCAATAAGATCTAGCTGACTAGAGAATGTTTCAATAACTCTTGTGCTTAAAGAGTATCATACCATTAAATTTCTACCAAAAAAATGATATATACACTAAAATCCCAATATTTTCAACGATTTGACAAAAAAGTCCTAAACTTTATTTTTTTGACAGTAAAGTCCTAATTGACGATTTGACAAAAAAGTCTTAAACTTTATTTTTTTGACAAAAAAGTCCTAATTACCGGCTAACCGGGAAAAAATGGTAAAAATGTCAAAAATTACCGGTAATTTGGACTTTACTGTCAAAAAAATAAAGTTTAAGACTTTTTTGTCAAATCGATGAAAATATTAGAACTTTTGTGTATATACCCCATTATTTTCAGATTTGGTCCAGATATTATTTTATTTGTTTTATATCAAACGTAGTTCTAATAATAAAAAAATGTCACACAACAAATGAAACACTGCATGCTCGTTAATCGAAAATCTGAAAAAAGAAAAAAAGTTGTTTTTACAAAATTATATATATGCTAAGCAAATATTTGTAGGTTATGCAAAAATATAATTTTATAATTAAAATATAAATAATTATATATTGTTAATTTATAACTAAATATGGATTGCCTGAAAATATATAAAAATAAACTAATTTTCTGGTGCAATTGAAAAAATATGAAAATATACATCGGAGACGAGTAAGAATATCGGTAAATTGGTTGTCTTGGTGATGTTCGTAGTGTGTATCCTTAGCATCTCGTTAGATTAAATTTATAACAATAAAATATATTTTATGTTGTTATATATATATATATTATTGACTACAAAATAAAAAATTCTTTATACATATAAATCATATGTTCTCCTATGAACCGTGATGTGATCCTATTGGACCACTTTTAATTTTTAAATTTTTTTTTGTCAATGTCTGGATTAGTTTCTTGGATACTTGTTGTGTTACATGGTGTCTTCAACTCTCTAATGGTTTTGCTCCAGGTAACACTTGTCTGCTAAAGACTTCTTCCAATTTTTGTCTCTTCTTTATTCACTCCACCTTTACCTTCGCCAGTGATTTCTTTCCTTTCTCACTCCTCGAATGTCTCGAAAAATCTTCACAACCTTTGTATCTTGAACCTCTGAATCCACCGTCGATTGTTTTGGGATTTTAGGGCTTTCAAAGCGAAAGGTGCCAACAACAACGAAGGTTAGGTTACAGGACCTCAGTCCTGTTCTCCATGCTTCTAGAGGTTTCTAGCGAATCGTTTATTCATCACTTCCTCAATCACCATATATCTTTGTTGTCGATTCCGCTTAAGAACCCACCTCAAGTGAGTCATTCTTTTACTTTTCCTTTTGTGTTTTTTCTGCGATACCCATCCCAATCTTTAACTTCTTTGTTGATTCCGTTACTGTGTGTGTTGGTGAAAATGGGAAGCGGACCTGAGCTGGGAATGAATTTAAAATAGAAAAGGGAAATAAAGGGTATTTGGTTGAAAGAAATTGACGGATGCAAGGCATAAATCGAATCTCATTCTCGCTATTTCGTTGATTACACTTTTCTTCCTGTATTCACTTGAAGTTGGTGTTTGTTGAAGGTCCATGACTTTCAACTATTCGATTTTGAATCTTTTTTACCAGTGCATCATTGAGTGAAAAGTTGTTCAAGAACTAAACCCATTAGATCTAAGAGGAGCCTGTAGAGTACATTAAGTGTGATGGAATCATGGAAATAAGGAATTCAATTTCATTTGGAATCAGTGGCGGACGCAAAATGTTTTAGTAGGGGTGGCACTAAAAAAATTCCGAATAAATCTAAATTAGCAGTGACACTTGTAGTTTAAGCCGATGCACCTAATAGAAAAAACATAAAAAAATATAATTTTTTTACACTACGTGCCGGAATCGGAGTAGTGGCGCAGGACCCCCCGGGCTCCACTAAGGTCTGCCACTGTTTGGAATGTGGGATAATCATAGTTAAGCAGCCTTACCGCATAATTGAACTGTGTAAAAGGCCCATGTTTGTCAACAACATGAATATTGGATTAACAAGGAAAGGATATGAAATCCATGTTTACTAAAATGTTCACAATAGACCATGTGCAGGAGCAGGAGATGGAGATCGAAGCATTAGAAGCCATTCTTATGGACGAGATTCAAGGTTTGCACCATAAAGAATACTCAACATGAATTTTGGTCTTTGTAGAATTCTGATATTGAACTTGCAAATTCAAACTCGTGACACATGTTTTTGTGTTAATGCATTTGCCAGAAACAACCGAGTGAAAGCGGATTGAACACTTCAAAACGATGTTTCCAAATTACTTTGTCTCCACGGCTACCCAATTTCATTACATTATTTAGTTAGTTTTCTTCTTTTTTCCTATAGAGATCTCATATTAAGCAATTGTCTGATTAATGGCACCCAAAGGATATTAGAAATACCATTAATTCACAAATAATGAATATGCTATATGGAATTGAATAAAAGGAATGAATTCTACACATAAAACCTTCTACTATCAGTCTAACACTAAGTATGTTACTTTGTTTTTTGCAGGATGATGAGAATGATAAATCTTTTAGCACTCTAGGTTTTTATCTGAAGTATATATGTTGCTTTTCTTTACAGGATGATTAGAATGATGAACCTTTTAGCACTCCAACTTTTTATCTGTCATTTTTTTTGTTAAATATTACTTCTTAAGGATGCTTACATTTTAATAATGTTGGTTTTCATTTCGCTAAATTTTGTTCCAAAATGTCTATGAGTTAATAAATAGGATAGTTTGAATTGGGCTCTAGAAAATATAGTTGACATGAGTATGTAAGGTTCGTTAAATAAATATGAAGAATTTAGGAATCCCACCATAATCTTTGGAATGGATGTCTCCCATGGTTTACCTGGATGTGTTGATGTTCCCTCAATCGATGTTGTATTTTTATCCCACATTCTTAATTTCTCCACATTCTTAACAATAATTAATAACCATGTCTTTTTAATATGTACATTTAGGTTGTCATCTCAAGGAAATGGCCTCAAATTTCATGATGCAGAGCATCTCTTTGTGCACAATCTGCAAGAGTTGAGATGATCGATGGTTTATATAAGCACATTTCACCTGATAAAGACATAGGAATGATAAGGTTTAAATTTATTCATATTTCATAAACATTTACATATTTTTCAAAGTTTGAATCTCAACTTATTGTAATTGTCTATTTTCCATGTTTGAGTGTCAAATTTTAAGCATTACAGTTTTCAAATTAATAGATAGAGTTAAGTATTTATTGATATTGGTTACATTTTTTTTATTTTTTTGGTCAAGATTTTTTTTCAATTGCATGTAAATGTGGGTGTGGGTGTGGGTGTATGTGAAATTGATTGTATATGTATATGGTTGTTGCAGGGAAGTATGGATGTCGCACGGGAGGAGGGAGGGGTATGTTGGTCGTTTTGAAGAAAACAATGAATTAGTTTACATGTGACTATGTGTTTGTGGCAAAGCCTTCAAGTTTCATGTAAAGTCCCTAGCAATGGCAATCAATGAAGGTTACAAAGTTGGACATGATGCTGATGAGGATAAAGCAATTGTCCTTTACAAGGTAACAAACAAGTCACCAATATACTCATTTTCTCATATATTTTTTTTTTTAATTCCTTTTATTTCCT